CCCCCACGTGCCTCTTGCAGCATCTCAAAGGGGTCTGAAATGCTGCAAGAGGCACATGCAGGCTCATCTGGATGCGCCCTTGGTGGGCTGAAGAGATAGTGTTCCTCTCCCCAGAAGAACTGCAAACACTGGGGACAGGAGGAAAGCCAGACACACCTAAAGGTCAACAGGACCCCTCCCAGGGGAATCCCAAGGTAAAACTGAGCTCCAGGTGCTTGATGAGGAGTCAGAGGTGTCTTGGGAGAAGTGGGGGGTGTTGAGGGAGAAGAAGGGTCAGAACTAGGTGGGAGGGATGGAGAAGAAGAAGCATGGTGATACTGGCAGGTAGAGCTATATGACATTTCAAGGAGTGTTTTGTTTCAAAGCTGTTTCGGTGTGTTTTGAGCTCAAAACAGCAACATCAAAATGAAACAAAAGGCTTCAAAACAAAATGAGGGCACTTGAAACATTTCAAAGTTTCAAAACATTTTGAGTTTCGAAGCAGCCAGGTGGTGGGAGGCAGGGGAGAGCCAGGGCTGAGCTCTGAGTGGCTCCGCCAGCCCCATGGAGCTCAGCCCGGTGTGGGGAGGCAATGGAGAGCCTGTGGCAGAGCTGCTCTAAGTGTAGCCCTGGCCAGTGACTGTCCCCCGCCTCCTGCCACCAGGCTCAGCTCTGTGGGACTGCCAAGCCTCCAGCTGCTAGGCTGTGCTCACCAGGGCTGCGCTCGGAGCCAGGGCTGTGCTTTGAGTGGCTCCACCAGCCTCATGGAGCTCAACCTGCCCTTCCAGCACTGCCAGACTCCTCCCATGGGTGCGGGCCACCAGATCTGTGCACAGGATGACAGGAGGATGTCACTGCTGCCTGGGGCCAGTGGCAGCAGCAGTCTTCCTGCTGCCAGGTGTGGGCTATGCCCAGTGCTTGTCCCAGGCAGCAGTGGCAGCCTTCTGTCATGCAGCACACAGATCTGGGGGCCCACACCCCTGCGAGGAGTCTGGCACAGCCCCACAGCCCTCCCGGGGGTGCGGGCTCCCGGATCTGTGTGCCAGTTGAGAGGAGGCTGCCGCTGTCGGCAAGTGACACGAGTTTTGCTTTTAGCAGTTTCAGGTGCAGTTTCCCACAAATCCCTGCACCTACATCCTTGAAACTTGGCAGGCTTCATGCCCTCAGAAGGGGCTACCATCCCTGCAATTTTCATCAGAATCAGGCAAGAAATGACCTCATTTTAGGTATTTTTATGATTCCCCATTATAACCTATGAGCGAAACGTTAAAACATGTCAAAACAGCGAAACATTTTTGATTAAACGAAATGGAACAGAACTTTAAAACTAAATGAAACGATGAAACAAAACACTGTCCCTTCGAAACAGTGAAACAGGAATCAAAATGAAGCAGTGCTGTTTTGTACAGTCCTACTGGCAGGGTGCAAGGTACACAAAGGGGATCAGAAAACCCCAGCAGCAGTTACCTCAGAGGAGGTTGAGGACTCTGACATGGGCCATGTTGGCACAGGCTAGTGCCTCCTGCAAGGTGGGAGTGGGGGAGCTGCTCCTGAGGGATTAAAGTATTCAGGTGGAGAAGGGGTAAAGATCTGAGGGATGTGGTAAGCAGACCAGGCTGAGACAATCTCTTAATTGGAGGACATAGTGGAGAAGGCCAGGAACAGAGGAGCCAGACATTAGAACAGAAGGACAGACATTGAGGTAAACTGATGCTGTGGCATTTTCTTGTCCATGGAAATGATGATTAGAGCAGGGAGGCATGGGTCTGGAACGTCAGCTTGGAGGGATGTGACCCCCTATCTTTTCCAGATTTTGGCCTATGTATGGTAAGGCCTCTGGCTGCGCTTGGCTTCCCTTTGTGTAGCTTGCAAGGTAGCTTGGAAGAGGTGACTGCTGGACTGTTATGGGGGGTTGGAATGGCTGCATGGGGTGAACGGACATGATGTGTCCTGGGTGATAGTAGGGAACCTGGTTTTCTCTAATAAAAATTCCAAATTCTCTGATTTTAAAAAACCGAATCTATGTTTTTCTGTGGTTAAAATGAAACACCACTATACAGTACATACAGATATTAGTCGAACACAATGTTTTACTGATATATTTACAATTTTAAAGCAATTTGGAAGCCTACCAGTGTCTCAATCATTATAATAAAATGAAGTCTAAGTACGTATATATTTTGGCATTTGATTTTGTTTTTTTTTTATCATAGAAAATCAGAGCTCCTGCTGCTTTGTAGTGCTGAGCATCATTGATACACCAGTGCCCCTCAGTCCCAAGCCACAGCTCCCCCCAGGCCTGCCAGTGCCCCTCAGTCCCAACCCACAGCCCCCAACCCCTCCCCCCCCCACAGCCCTGCTGGTGCCCCTCACTCTTGACCCACTGCCCCAGGTACTAGTACCCCAGTATGTGGGGTAGGTGTGGTGTGTGTGGGGTAGGGGGCGTGCCTGACCATAGGCAATAGCAGTGTTGATGCATCTGGGAGATACAGGGGGGCCACATCAGGGTAAAGGGCTGCAACCTGGCCAGATCAGCACTGGGCAGGAGCTGCCACCACGGTGAGGTGCCCCCTGCTTGCAGCCGCAGTGGGGTTGCACAAGTTGCCCCAACAGCAGCAGAGAGCAGGGGGTGGCTCACCTTGGTGGCCATAGTGGGGTGGCTGGTGCAGGGTTTGTGGCAGTGGCGGTAGCAGCAATGAGTCTCACCACCACACTCTGCCCTTCTGCTCTGGGTCCTGCCTGGTGGGCTGTGGTGGAGGTTCCTAATCAGTGGTGGTCTGGCCAGGCTGCAGCCCCATGATCCACTGTGGGCACAAAAATCTGGGAAAGGCACATGACTTCCCCAAACCCTCCTAACATGTCACCTCTGGTGCCCAACCCCTCCCTGGGAGTGCATGCAGTGGCAGGGAGCTGCCCCACTTCTCCCCTCCTGGCATGTACTACCCATGGCTCCATCCTGCTCCCCAGCCAGGCCCTGTGGCTATGCATTCCTGTCCCAGCCCCACACCCTAGACACTGTCCTGGCTGGGCAGCAGCCCCAGCCCCAGCCTCCAACCTCCAACCCTGCCCCAGTCCCAGACTCCAACATTGCCTCAATCTCCACACAAGTTGTACCCCCCAACCCCCTCATGTTGCCTATGCCCCCCTGCCCTCCCACACATCATCTATGCCCCCTCCCATAGACTTACCTGCAGGCAGCTGCAGGAGCTGCTCTCTGTCATGCTGCCTAGAGCTGTACTGCTAACTGTAGGGGTTGTAGGGGCTGTAGGGAGGGAATGGGACTGTAGGGAGGGAATGGGGGGGTGCAGAACATGTGTGTATGTAATGAATGAGGGCAGATGGCAGCTGGAGAAGTACGTGGGTGGAAAGACAGGGTGGTGTAAAAGTGGGTGAGAGATCAATGTGAATTGCAAATAGGGATATACAGGACAAACAAATAACGTGTCTGTCTTGTCTTCTTTGGATCTCCCATGTCTAACCTTTCCAGCAACAGGACACTTACAGCTCTTGTCCGCCTGCTCTACCTCTGGCAGGTTAGGGTGCTTTTAATTTCTTGAGCAGTATCCCTTGTAGTTGTGAGACAAGGCTGATCTTATTTTAGAACGAGGTTTGAAAAGCACTTGTATGGGATGGTTTGGACAGGAGTGATCCTGCCCTGAGCAGGGGGTTGGACATGATGATCTCTGGACATCCTTTCCAGCCCTATTCTTCTATGAATCTATGAACTGATACAAATAAAGATACATCAGTTCAAATCTTCTTTCAGGTGTCTGTTTGTTTGCTTGGACATGTCACTAGGTAGTCTCTCCAGCACTGCCAAGGGTAAATTTGCTGGTATAAACCTGGTTGTGGTAGAGGCAGGGCACAACAGGGCAGCAATCCCCCTGGGCAGCAGTAGCTGCAGTAACATTGCTCTCAGTTACACAGCTCCTCTTACTGTGAGGTTAATGCAGCCTTAAGACACACCATGTTAGGCAGACCTAGGATTTTGAAAAGCAGGGTGTAACTCTGCTCTTTCCTTTGCTTATGGGGGAGCAGCCTGCTGAAATGGGTGGGGGGGATCTGAATTCCTTACCCTGTCACAACAGGGTGCCCCAGAGGAGCAGGGGCAATGGCAATCCCCTCACTGCCACTGCTGTTGCAACAGGCCTGGCTGGCACCAAGTGGAAGAGAACCTCTTGTCAGCTCAGATCGAGTGTGGTCCTATGCTTACCTGGCAAGGGAAACACCGTGACCACTGAGGTGGTCTTCCTAGCCACACCGAGGAAGACTGCTCTCCTGGCATGGGGATAGTACCTGCCAAGATAATATACAGTAAACCTCTCACTTAGCTGCTGGAGTGGGAAGACCTTGGCTTTATGCCCATTTCATGGAAAGAGGAGACTCCTCCCCAGCTTGCTCCTGCAGCCTTATGGCTGAGGGCAAGTAAAACTTGGGCCATCTGAACCCTAAGCTTCCAGGCTTGGGCCTGCATGAAAGATGCCTGCCAAAGGTTTTAGGAACATCTGAAGCCCCAGATGGGGTTGGAGGATGTAGCAGAGCCACTTATGGTTCTGGACTGATTCACGGATTTGGAATTTGTTTTGGCTACTTTGACTTGGAATACGGAAAAATTTGTAAAGAACAAAACAAAAAAGAGAACCTAGGTAAGTCAAACCAGCTCTTTCACAGCCATCTGCTGCCCCCGCCACCCGATTGCTCAGTGTTCAGACAACAGAACCTGTTGTTTGGAGCCTTGGTCACTTCCCACACTTTTCAGTTTGCCTGAAGTTTCAGGCTCATTGCTCAAGGCAATAAGCAGGCAGGCAAGAAATGCAAGAATAAACCAATTTAAGTCTGACTGGCTTCCAGGAATATTTGGAGGCAGCTGCATTTTTCTGTGCAGCTGAACTTATGGTCTCCTGGTGTGAATGTCCATTATGGCAATTTCTCCCAACAAGAAAAGGATAGCATTGCAGTTCATGCAGCCATACATATTCCCTTTGTGAACAGATCCCAACCAAAGTATCCAAAAGGTGTGAAGTACTTTATTTATCCAATAAAAGTCTACATCATTAATCACACTAAAACGGTATATTATAAAAGCATGCATAATGTAGTGTTTCATGGTTAACATAAGAAAGCACTGAAACTGAGAAACAGGTACCTAACATTGAAAGTGGTGATATCATAAAAGTGGGCTCTGCATGTATGTAATTAATTATTATACCTGCAAAGGCAAACAATGGAAATGATTGCTGAATCAGCAGTTGTCTTCTACAGCTGCTCAGTCACAACTAAGTGTGTGGGCAGTGGTTTATTGTGCATGAAATAGTCACACCTCAGGTTCTCTTCCATCCGGAGTGTCAAACTCACCCAGGTCCCCAGGCTGGATCCAGATCATGGGGCTTCTCATGGGTCAGATCTGGACCTACTTCCAGTGGCAGGATGAAATGGCAGTGCAGGTGTTAACAGAGCTGTTGCTTATCCCTCCACTGACATGCATCCCTGATGAGGTTCTGTACCCTAGATTTCGGTGGCAGGTCCTACCCCTGGCTCACACCATCTAATTCCAAGCTCCTCTGGGAGTCCTGTTGAATCAGCTCCATGGCCCACTGCCAGCCTGTGGGCTGTATCTTTGAAATCCTTGCCTTACAACAAGCCCTTAATGCTATCAACATGATTTTTTCAACAATGGATAACATTTATATTCCATACAAGGTATTTTTATTATAATACTATCCTCAGGATTTGCCTTAGGACATGCTTTTGATCCTTGGGATAACACAACCAGTCAATGTATTCTTAAAAGAACACCTCAGCAATATAGAAGTAGAAAAATGGATAGAATAAAATGAGGAGTTCCAAACTTGTCCATACTAGCACCCCTGAGCACCCTGTACCTGTTTATCTGGGACCTCCCTCTGATTTAGCAATATGGGAAAGGCAGGCTAGTTGTGACTTCTAGATGCCTATTCATGACTGCCAGCTTGGGATTAAAAAAAACTTTGGTTCAATTGTTTGATATTTTAAATAAGCAGTCAATTAATTTTATTATGGCATTCAATGGAAACACAATCCCTGAATGGAACTGAAAACAGCCTAATTAATATACATTAATTTTACATTATACATAACATGCACTTAACCCACAGAATTACTTCACCAGCGGGGTATCCTGTTGGCAGACAGCCTGCCTCTGAGCAACAATTATGTGAATGCTTTCATTTAATAAAGCTAAGACACCTAATTTACACATGGTCAAGCTATAAAGACCTGATTCTGTTCAACTGAGATCAATGAGTTTTGACTATGAACTTCAATGGGGAGAAGAGAAGGCCCCAAATGGTCTGAATGCTATGTTACTGTCCCATCTAAGTTACAGCAATGCCCTGAGGTTTGCACTGTTTTCCTTATTTCCCTGTAACTGATGATGCTTTCTAAACCCTCCCATGTGTTACTGGGAAGGAGATTAGATGCTGTAGGCTGGTATAGCCCTTCAGGGCTTTCTAAGAACCCTTTAATTAAGACCCACACTTTCTGAGGCTGGCTAAATCTTTTAACAGAGTGCCACATTGCTCTTTTACAAGCCTCCTTTAAACACAATGCTGCCCACTCCAGTGTAGCATGGCATCATTTGCTAGTTTCCTTGCTTTTAATTTGTTGTTGTTGTTGTTGTCATTGTTGCAGTGGTAGCTCATGGACCTCTCTTCCCTCCTTAAACCTAACAAGGATCTAAATTCTAGCTGAACCGTTAACCTCAGTTTGCCTCCACTGTTTCTTTTTGAAACTGGTACTTGTTTCCTGTTGCAGCATCCAGGTATGATTCTTACTGTAGGTTGTAGGAAGCGTGTGCCCCTACAACCTACAATGAATAGATGGTTCATACAGGGCCATGACAAAGTTTCCCCTTCCCATCCCCCCAAGAAAGGGGAGACCATACCACCTCTATCAGGTATCAAACCACAGAATCAAGCCCACAGTAATTCTTAAACACAGAAATTATACGTGCTTCTGCTAAACCATCTTCACAATCTGTCCTCTCTTCTGGTTCTCATATTGACAGCATGACTGCCTCTGTCTTCTGTTTATTTAGTGACTGAAAATCTGTGCAAGGACATGGATGAGGAGAACCCAAAATGCAAGACTGTTCATGAAACCTAGTTTGGACAAGGAGCATCAAGATCTGTCTACACTGTAACCTTGAGTGACTCCTAGGCCTCCCCTCTAGCCCAAGCCTGCCAACCATCCACAATACAAACCCCTAACCTCACACTTCCTGGCAGGTGTCCAGCCTAACCCCAAAGCTCTCCTTGGCATCAAAGCCCGAGGCTGGGCTCCCTTCTGCCCCTGCTGTAAGTTCAGTATTCATCGGAGCACTGCAGGCCACAAGCATAGGAAGTCCACTAGTGGCCTTTCGGCACTTCACTGACTGTCTCTATTGCCCGTAATTAGAGTCTAAAACAGGAGATGCAAATAGCCAGCGTGATTCCCAAAAGGGCTTTAGTTTCCTGTTCTTCTAGAAATCAGTCTGCCTACTACTTGTCTCCATGCTGCAGCAAGGTAGCGTAGACAGGAAGGGGCAGCTCATGAGACTCAGGGTATTTGAGGTTGAGCCTTCATTTTACCCCAAAATACAGATGCACACTTGCCCTTGGGGCCCCTATTCCAACTGATGGCACTGACAGCTCTCATATACGCACAGATTAACAGGACTGTGCTGAGCTTCAAGAGTACTGCTTCTCAACCCTGGGGTGCCATGACAGCCTTTGAAGGGTGCCATGGGGAAAGAGGAGACAAGCAAGATAATCTCAGGCTCTGGGCAGAAGGTAAATTCAGGCTCTTCCTTTCCAGTTGCTCATCCTGTCAGCTGCTTCTCCTTTTTCCCAGCCCCTCTGCAAGCAGGCAAGGCACCAATAAATTAATGTTAGAAATGGAGTGCTACTCAATTCACCAAGATTATGGAAGGGTGCCTCGATTCTAAAAAGATTGAAAACTACTCTGTTAGAGTCAACTTACTACTCTAGTCTCTGCTGTGTTTATTGTCCTAAACAAAGCCAAGGCTCTGAGAGCTCCCAGTACTCCTTTTGGAGACAGTGACCTTCTCAGTAACACTGGGGATCAGGCTACAATACAGACAGAAAATTAAGAACACACCAAAGTAGCCAAGTTTCTTGAAGCTGCTATAGGAACTGTGATTCCAAGAACCCTGCTGATTACCCTGCAGAAGTGCTGCTATTTTTACATGCAATTTCATTTGCTTTGCGAATCAACAAACTGTCTCCCAATTTCCAAATATGTGACCCAGTTTGATCCCTGTGCACATCATGGAAGGGTGCCTCAGATCTAAAAAGACTGAAAACCACTGTATTAGAGTCAACCTACTACTCTAGTCTCTGCTTTGTTCATTGTCATAAATATATGACAGATATGAAATATATAAATATATGAAAAATAATATGATGTTGCTTTTACAAGGCCGGAGTGCACTTCACAGCTCCAAGCAAAAGCTCCTTTTGTGCCCTTGTGCAGGAAAGGAGCACCAGTGAATTGTCTAGGCTTAGGGGGATTCAAGGACTGCTCAACTTTTTGTTCTGGGCCCAGTGCTGCTTTCTGGCTGTACCTTTGGGTTGGAGTGCTCCCAGAACCTTGCTGGGGAGGTTCAACTCCTTACTATGAGCTGTGTGCCTCTGCTTACACTGACAGACTGATGCCCCTGGATGTCTCCAAACATTTTGCACTAACCCATCTTTGATTGGTTGTATTTGTGCACATCATAGCTGTGAAGGTTTGTGCCTGAGAGGTATTGTGTGACTGCTGTGGAACCTACAAAGTAACACCCTTATTTCATATGGATTTAGATTTCCAACCCCATTCATAGACTATTTCAGAACTGTGCAGAGAGAGTGGGCCAGATTCTCATTGGGTGTTGTCCGGCACAGCAACGGAGCCATGGTGATCTGTGCCAGTTGCATATCTGATCCAATGTTGCTATCAGGGGCCAGGGGAGAGAAATGCTCAGGGTGCTACTAGTGACTGCTGTTGGGTTACTTGCAGTACAGTGCACCGGGATCTTGATCCAAAACTCACTGAAGTCAGTGGAAAGAATCCAGTTAACTTCAGTGGGGTTAGATCAGCTTCCAATTGGGAGTAAAGACTGTGGGTTCCATTCTCCTGTGAATGTACAGCGATGAACGCTGTGGGAAATTCCTACCAACCATGAACAAGTATTCAGTGTAAGAGCCTCCTGTATATTCATGAGAGAAAAGAAAGACTGTAATCTTCTTCATGTGTCTACTGCAAAGCAATGTGATGCTAAATAACAAAATGAAGAAGCATGGATCAGTCATCATCAGAGTGTACTGGTTATATAAAGAAGCACACATGCATCTTCCTGTTCATGAAGGAATCTTGAGAAACAGCCCTTTAAGCTGTGTGGAAGGACTACAGTGATGATGAGAGTGGGGTTAGAAAGGATTTACAGCAACCAAATGCAAGGCACTAACCTTTACTATCAGAAACTTGGTGTGCAAACACACTGGGCCAACTTCCTCCTTGGATGATTCCAGTGGTTTGTTCCATAGGTGATTTTGACCTATGCATGTCTCAGTGGCTGCACAAGTGAAACTAGGAACAGAACTTGTCCCAAATATTTTAAGATAATATACAGTATTCTGTATTCAAAACGCAACATCCTGGGCAGGGCTTGTTATTGCCACAAAAATGTCTGCTTTTATACTCAGCTAATAAGAAAGGACATTTAAAGAACAGAAGTAGTAAGCTAAATTCTGATGATACTGACACCGGTACAAATTTGGAGGAACTTTTGTGAAGTCATTGTCACTGTACTCATTGAGACTAATTCAGAATCTGTTCCATGGACTCCAATTGCGAACGAAAGCCTTTCAGTATTTTTAGACCCATCCAACATACTTCTCAAGCAGGGCCAAACTTCCCCATTAAATCCTATGGTAAGGTCTAATATTTCTATAGAAAGCCTATCTGTAAAAATCCCAACAAGACTTTTTTCATAAGAGGAATTTAAGCCTTAATCACTTTCTTATAAATATAATTTGAAAGGTAGTCTTATTCTGAAAGTTCTTGTTATGAAAGTAGCTCATGACAGAGTCTAGAATGGACTTTTTTGAACTTTAACTTACAGCAAATGGTATACATCAGATGGTAATCAAGCCCCAATCATTTATTCCTCTGGGGGAGGCACTTGATGGATTTTACTCTACTGTAGCATTCTACTGTTATGGATTAGTTATCAGTCTGGATTATTTTGGAGCCATGTCAAGTAGATTGAGAGCTAGGTATTGTAGTTTGCTAAAGCCCCAGACTTATGTTTTAAATCTGTATATGTTACCAGTGGAAGGCATTTGGTAGCCTTCACTTATCCCATGGAAAAACCACACATGCCACAGAACTTCCACAGATTTTGGTACAGTTGAAAACACTTGAAATTTAACCCTGCACCATTAAATAGGTGGAATTCTTTCCACTGATTGGAAGAGGAAAATGAACAAGTACTTGGTCAGCTGTGCTCAGCCGAAACAAACCCAGGCCCAGAATAACAGTGGTATTATCACCAGAAGGACTGAGCTGTGTTGTGGAAAAACCTATGCAACACTGGTTCAGGTTGTGCCATCTGCTCTTGCATGCATGGTTGTTTTAGGATTTTTGAGGCCGTGGGCACACTGCCAGTTCGGGGCCTCTATGCAAGTAACCCTATGGTAGTTATTGTGCTGATTTTGTGTGACTGTGCAGGCAGGAATAGTTAGTGTTTTGCACGATGGTGTATTTGGAGGTTGGTATGTCTGGGTGCATGTAGTCTCTCTGTGTTGTGCTCCTGATAGGTTGCACCCCATGCAGAGATACACGTCACATGTGCCTTCTCTTTGTACTAGCTGATGGGTCTTGGAGTCCTTTCATACAGAGACACAAGACTTGGATCCCAGGGGCTCATGCCTGAAGACAGTACTGCTTATGGGCAATACTGATTCAACATGCTGGTTTTCTAAACAACTCTTCAGGGCTGTATTTAATTTACATCCTCATCACTGTACTGATCTGAATGCAACAGACATCTCTGTGAGGGGCGGGATGAAGACAAACAAGGCTTCAGCACACTCATTTGCCCACAGATTACTCACCAGCACGTGTTTTCCAATCTAGATCTCAGCACTGTGTTTCCTGGAGGTTAGTGGGGAGGATGATAAATTGCTATGGTTTCCTGATAATTCTGTTGGGTGTGTGGCCCGTTGCTACAGAGCATGCCAGACTTCTGCGACGGAGCAGCTGCTTGTTGCTGGCGAGCACATGAGTTCATTCACACTTCATTTGCTGTTTTTCATATATGTGGGTGTAAAACCAGTCAGGAGACAGAGCCAAAAAGAAAAAAAATCCCAAATCCAGAGGGAAAAATATTTAGCTACAGGGAGGTTAGTGTATCTGATAGAATCTGGCTTTCATTGGTATACTCATCTGATTAGAGTTAGTGTTCCTACAAGCATAGATCTATGGAAGATGGTAAAAAATGTAAAGTATCCAAAGTCAAAACTTGGAAACTTGGAAACTCTTTACTACAAAAGAGTAAATTTATGAGATGATTGCAGAAAATACCCTTGTAACTACCAGAGTAATTTGGTTGATATCATTGCTTGATACTAGTTTTTAAGCTCATGTTTCTTGGAGTAGTTGCAGTATGGTTGCCTTTTGGTGGCTACAGGTGCTCTCACAGGGCCTGGATCACTAGTTAGAAACAGAGGAAGTTTCTAAAAGAGTCTGTACTAAAAGAAAGTGATGGATGAGGAGGAACAGTCCATGAGCTGTTGATTTCCTTGCTTTCATGAGCTGCTTTCTTTAGAACTCGTAGGGAGACACAAAAACTGTAATTTTGGAAACATGCTTGGCCTGGAAGGTGCGATCCAGGTACTCTGACATGTCAACATCCACCTCCACTGTCTGGGGTCCTTTCATGCTTTGTACAAGGATGAGCTCTCCTGTCTGCCTGTCTGAGCGCTGCATCACAAAGTGCCCTCGGTTGTTGCCTCCCACAATCCCAAAGCGCAAGCTGTCAGGTCCAGGCCGTCCCGGAGCTGAGGCAGTCGCCATACGGAAAAGTGGGGTGGGAGTGATCAGGTTGGAAGGCAGAGGCAGGTAGTGGAAAGAGATGGTCTTTGGGGCGTGATGACACGATCTACTGTCCATTGGGCAGGGATTGCGTTCACACTGGCTAACAGTGGAAGAAAGGAGAAGGTTTAGGTCAGTCCCAGGAACAGTTTGTATGAAAGCATCATGGCCATGGGGCCTTGGCCTAAACATCTTATTTCAAATGATCCATGAATATTAATTGGGAGAATTTATGTTCATATGTACTACAAAAACATTTCCTAAAATACATTCATCAAACTAATCCTAACATGAAGGAACCTTCACTGATGAGTCCCCCATAGCCCTAGTGAAAAGAGGCAGTGCTTTCATGACCTGGAATCATGAGAACTAGCAGATTACAGGCCAAGTCCTCCTCTTGGTCACACTTATGTAAATCTGCAATAACCCCAGTGAAGTCACACTGTATGTATGCCATTGTAACCAAGGTCAAAATCTAGCCCACCAGGGATTGAGTATAGGGCCTCCCAAATGAGAATATAAGCCTGGGGCTGTAGCAGACAGGTATCCTCTGGGGACCAGGTACAGGATGGGGAGGAAACTGAAGGGGGCCAGGTGCAGAGGTTGGAACAACACATGAAACTACCATGCTGGTCAGTGTTTTACACACAGACCTACAGTTAACACATGGAGAAGATCTTTGCATGTCAGAAGAGTGTAAGATTTAGGGTCAAAAGTCAGCAAGAGTTTTGCCAATGACTTCAATAGGTCCAGGATTTCATCCCAGGAGGTTCATTTCGTCGTGTATCTTCAAGGTCTGTTCTGGTATTGGATTTAGTAAAGCCAAGTTTTGAACTAACTTCAAGATGAACAACCTGGAATTGAGGGTTTTAACAGAACATTTTTTCCTGTCTCACAAAGAGGGCCTTCTAGAAGGAGACATGGTTTAACAAGGCAATTAAACAGGATTGTAAACTTGATGATCATAGTTACTCTATCTGGAGTTCGCAAGACCATTAATTCTGTTTCATTTCTCCATACTTACAATGGTGATGTTTTCACATAGCTGACATTGCCACTAGACTTAGGACACTCAGAGCTAACACACTGGAAGCCTCCTCCAGTATTAATGCATGTTGTGCCCTTTGAGCAGTTGTGCTGGGACAGGGCACACTCATCTATATCTGCAAAACAGTGACATTTGAAAGAGAGTTATGTAAAAGCAAAAGACTGGAAAGGACCTGCTCTTACCATATTTCTTGCATGTAATGCACACTCTAATTTTCCAGCAGCTCGTTTTTGGGGAAAAGGACATTAGCAACACATTAGGGGGACATGAGAGGGCACATGGCCCCCATATTTCTGCACTGACAGTGGGGTACAGGCCATGGGGCTGCAGCCTGGCTGACGCCAGGGCCCAGCAGCAGTGGGGGTGGTGGCAGCTGCACAATTTCTGCACCATCAGTGGGGCCTGGCTGCAGACTAGCTGCACCCAATGCCCAGCAGCATCATCATGGAGTTGTGCCCCCACACTGCAGCGGTGGTGCAGAATCGTGCCTCTCCACTGTCAGAACTTATGTGTTGCCTATGTGAAAGGGTATTTGTTGTATGCATGAAAATTAAGTACTGTTTGCCCAGAAGGGTCCACAAGGATTTAAACTAACCTTTTAAAAATAACCCTTCTTTTTTAGCATAAGAACGTTCTTAAAGCAATTATCCAATGACCCTGAGGGTGTCCATCAGAACTATCATTCAGTAATTCCATGTTAATGTGCTCCATTTAACAATAGAAGACAAGACGTTACTTTTAACTCCTAACCATGCAAACACAGCCTATGCTCTCAAGGCCAAATTGGGCTCTTCCTTTTCTAAAAAAGACCATTATTAGTAAGACAGGTTTTAAATGCAAACTTCTTCCCTTTTTTTACACCAGAGCAATGCCCCCACATGCTGCTCAGAGTGACCGCAGTGCACCCCATTGCCTCAAATTGACTTGCCCAGGTAAGGCCAACTGAAACTAAGTGAACAGATCTCTTTGTAGCTGCACATTAAGACACAACAGACCACAGCACCCTCTTCCCGCAGCTATAGAGGCAGCAAGCATAGGTCTGGGAGGGCACTTTTGCCTGAATGTTTTTTTTAAAGGAAAACATAGATTCTGGATCACTGAATCATTCAAATCAAAATGAGACATTTGGATAAAGTCAATACTTTTTCAATCCAGAATGGTTTCTCATTTACAAGTCTCTGTTAGTTATATTAAAACAAATTAAATCCTAAACAAAGCATTGGTAGTGTTAATGTGAGGTTGTAGCTGTGCTGATCTAGGAATTATGTCAGAGGCAAGGATTTCTTTGGGTGATATCTTGTAATGGACCAACTGCACAGCAAGGATAGAGTTAGACAAGCTTTAGAATGCAAGATAGTCTTCTTCAAGTCTGAGAAGAAAAGCAACAAAGGGGTAGCAAAAAACAGTTGGCTGTAAAATATGAGGGAGGAGAGAAATTCCCAGGGGTAGTAGACAAGCAATTAGCTGAAGAAAAGAAGCTGATTACTGGGAAATCAAGGCCTATAAAAAGGGCGGAAGTCATTAGCACCTTTCATTTCTGGGAAGAATTCAAGAATCAGGTAGGTTATAATGTACACTAAAAACAATATCAGTGTTAAGTCCTTGGCTCCTAGTCAGAGTCGGCCTTAGGGAAAATGGTGCCCTGGGCAAATTTGTATTTTGGCGCCCCCCCACACCCAGCATCCTGCCAGCCCCAGCCCCAAGTCAGCAGCCCTGGTGCAGGCAGAGGCAAGCAGGGATCCAGAGCGCAGTCCAGTGGATCTGCCCACACTGCCCAGCCTGTCTCCTCCTGAGCAGCAGCTGAGGGGGAGCTCCACCTCCTTGCTAGACTGTGCCCTGCACCCCTGCCTCCGCCTGCAGCAGCGCCACTGACTTGCTTAGCTGACTAATGAGCTTCTTTTCTTCAGCTGTTTGTCTGCTACCCCTGGAAAATTTTCTCTCCACCACACATTTCACAGCCAACTGTTCTTTACTGTTACCATGTTTGCTTTTCTTCTTTGACCTGAAGAAGGCTGTCTTGCATCCAAAAGCTTGTTTAACCATATCCAAACTATGCAGGTGGTCCAATAAAATATATCACACAAAGAAACCTTTCCCCCTTGCATAAACAAAGCATTGCATTTCAGAGAACAGTTCAATCTGAGGATTTTTTTTTAATGTCCAGAGCAAAAAAAAATCAGTCATTCACACAACTCTAAACACATCACAATAGGAAAATAACATTTCTTTGGCTCTAGGATCAGCAAATAGTCAGATTCTCACAAGGGCTCAGCACCTCCAGTCAGGGGCAGGATCTCAGCATCACTAGCTACTAAGTTCTTGTGAAAACTGGGAGGCAGATCTAAGCAGGAAGGGGGTTGCCTTTCAGAGCAGAAATACCCTTTAAAGACTTCACACAGCAGTGCAGCTCACCCTCTGTTTGCATAGCTGGGCACACCAGCCCCCTTGCAATTTTTCTGACTTATTATATCCTAATTTAAGTCATTTTCTATCTTTTTATGGTGATCAAAGGATTAATGTGGATTGCTCACCTATGACTCCCTCCTGTCAACTGAACTTTGATTCCATTACTGGAGAAACTTTGCATTGTGTATCAGAAACTGCGTTATCCCTTTTTAACCCAGCATAATCAACCTTTACTAAAATGGTTAAAAAATTAAATATAGAGGAGAAAACATGATAGTAGCAACTTTTGCCTATCCCTTTTTCCCCTCTCTTTTCTTGCTGTCAAAACTGTCTAAGCACATTTTCCTTCTTCAGCACAGTGAAGCAAAAAACCCTAATTATAATCATTCAGACCAGACAGAAAGACTGAAACCACATTCTTCTTCAGTCTTCTGTCTGCTGGGTTCCATTTGGATGCTTTCCTCACTAAAGCATCTGCCCGTGCATAACCCTTGCTAGCCTATAGAAAAAACAAAGGTAGATCTAAACCAGAGCAGAAAATTAGACACCTGTTTTTGTGACACTGCAAAACTGCAGAGCTATCTGAGGCATACCTCATTTTGCTTACTTGAAAAAGGTATGAAGTTTTTCATTTAAAATATGTTTTGAAAATGTCACTAAAATCTTACCAGAAGTTATGTAATATCCTCGGTAACCATGTAAAATAAACAAAAAACAAAAGTCATTAACTCCCCCCACCCCGAAAATGCAGCATTTGACAACTTTTCATGTCCAAGATCTTTTTTTTAACAAAAGTTTTTCCCAATAATTTCAATCAGTCCTAGTTTACTCTCTGAATTTAACTCCCAATATTTCTCTCCTCTATGCTTACATTGACATTAACTTGGTCTCATCCACTGAAACTTCCTGTCATCAGTTATTACATTTGTTTGTTCCTTGAGGCTAGATTAAGGGCCAGCAATGGCACATCAGTGGTAGCAAGGGATGGGCTTTCCTTGAGCCTCCATCAGAGCCTCACAGCTGGGAGCTATGCCTGCACCAAGCAGTACCACACCTTGCTGCTCTCAGCCCCCTGTTACCTGATTGCTGTGCAAGCGCAGCTTCCAGGCAAAGGGAGTTGTGCCAGGGACAGGCAGTTGGAAGCTCCTATGCTGCTGCTGCTTCTTCTTCTTGCCCCTGCATCCCTCCTTCCCCCCACCTCTATACAGCCCAGCCCTGGCACAGCTGTACTCCAGCTGGAATCTGAATCTGCACCACAGCCTCAGAGAGGGGGGAGCAGGAGCTCAGAAGGCAGGGGGCAGTTCTCCAGCCCAAGTGCAGCGCCTTACTGCTCAGTCCTAGTGCAAGCATGGGCACAGGCAAAGCTGTGGTTCGATGGGCCAGATCCAACCCACAGACCATATGCGACCAACCTTTGGGATAGATAATAGATGTCTTGTCCTTAGGGACAAATGGATTATTTGAGTACTTGCTAAAAGCAGCCCCACATCACAGTCTGTGCTCAGTCCTTTGCCCTCGTATGTGCCAGCATACCCAAGATTTATTATACATGCCTTTTCTTCTTCTACTGCTGCCCTAGTATTCTGTCTGAAGGAGCCAGTGGGGAGCTGGGAACCTAGAAACTTGCTGCCCCTCTGTGGTCCAGGTTCTCCATCTCCCTGCTGTACAGTAGGGTAAGGATCATTTCAGGTTGCAGGCTTTGCAGAATGTTGGGGTTAGGAGAACAAAGCCAAACGTTGAACTTCCAAAATTTGCCAAGAAGCAGAACTGCAGGTCTTTTCCCAAACCCATCAAGGTCAACACCATCCCCCATACACCAGCACGTGCTACACTGTACCTACTGTAAATGAGTCAGCTTATATGAATGCCATATACCTATAGGATGTCATAAGTTTGTGTGCCAGGCAATAAGGAAGTCACCTCTCACCTTCACAGCTTTTCCCATCACCAAGTATGTTGTATCCACTGGGGCAGGAGCAGCGGTAAGAGCCAGGAATGTTGATGCAGTTATGCATACACAGGCGTGGAGCTCCATCCAGCTTGTAGACCTCACATTCATTCACATCTGCAGAGAAAACACACTTTCCTGAGCTCTGGACAAACCATTTATCACAGCAAGGAATTTTTTGCTGGACACTGTCTTGTTCTTCATGCAAGTGTCTAGCAAGAACAGCAAGCTGGCAGCTTTTCTCTGGACCAAGCCATCCAGTGGTATTCAAAAGTGAAACAAGCACAACATCAATGAGGCAATGTTTTCAGAGCAAAAATGCTTTGGTGCTGATTCACTACCTTTTGGGTTTGGCTGGGGAGTGGGCACACAAATTGCACCAGAGCTCACAATATATGCACAGCTCCAAACAGGTGCTGTTCTGACACAGTGCTGAACTTAGAGCTCCCTGGCACCTGAGATCCCAATGAGGGAGGTGTAGTCACACCACCTTCAGCAGAGTGGTGCATGCACTATGAACTGTCTTCACCAGGCCTACACCACGCTGCTGGCTGAAGGGGGTGTGGCTGGGATCCTGGATCCATCCATGAGCATGGTGAAAAGGAAAATAAGATTAAAAAGTATATTCAGCGTGAAAAGAAACAAGGAAAATATTTATGCCTGCTAAAACAGCAAGTCAGCGGTGTTTGGAGACACCCAGAGAAAGGCAGCAGCTATGCTGCCTGTGAATTCAACTCAAAAGATAGACTAGATTTCCTAAAATTCTATAAAGAGACAAGGGTCTTTGGGAAAATGTTATATCTTTTATTAGACCAAATAAATAGCTGGAAAAATTGTTCTTTGCAAGCTTTTGGGCACAAACACCCTTCTTCAGGCATAGGGAGAATCTGCTGTTTTGTGTTCTCCTGGATGGAATAGAAGCCAATATGCAAAATGCAGGTCTGTGAGAATGCAAGTGTGTGGCAGCGAGGAATAGGGGCCATGGGAGACAATAGATATGAGACAGGTAGGTGGCGGCGGGGAGGGAGGAACATTGACCTGTTGATAGTATGTAGCTGGTAAAATGTAGAGAGGTTACCTAGGGTTATCAAAGGGGCAGGCAAAATACGGCCCGCAGGCCAGATCCAGCCCACGAGGCACATTCATCGGGCCCATGGCACCCACCAATGAATTATGTCCCACCCAGCTAATCCGCCCACGAGGGTGGGAGCGAGGCGCCCATGTATGTACCTCCCCCGCTAGTATACCCTATTGAACCTTGCTCCCACCCTCATGGATGGAAGGGCCCAGCACGGCCAGCGTGCAGCTTCTGGGTGGAGCTGCTGTTACTGCAGTCACTAGGGGAGCGACTCAGCTTCCCAGCATCCTGCCTGCCCTGGGCAGTAGGTAGGGAAGCAGTGTGGGCAGGGAGGAGCTGCCGCTGGGCAGAGGCAGGAAGCATGGGGCTGGTGGCAGTGCAGAGCCCACACCTGGGGGGTGACGGCAGCACAGAGCTCAGGTAGGCAGGGTGTTGGTGTGAGGGAGGGTGTGGGAACTCCCCCCATACTCCCCTCATGGTGTGCAGCCCCACAGGTGGTAACAGCAGCAGGCAGGGGTGCTCAGGGTGCTCATGCCCAGCGCAGGTGCTGGTGCCCGGTGGCATGCAGCTCCAGCTGGCACTGCAAATCGCGGTGAGGAGTGCATCCGCCTGTACTGTGGTGGGGTCCCCACCACATACGCGCAGCCCCCACACTTGCACACCTCTGGAGGGAAGCTAGAGCCGTCTGCCTTCACTGCTCCCTGTCACACAGGTCCCAGGACTCCATGGGGAAGCAGGGGCCAGGGCTCCTTCTGGAGGTGTCCTGAGACCTGTGCAGCAGGGAGTGGCAAAGGCAGCCAGCTCCAGTGCATGGAGCTTCCCTACAGTGGTGTGCAAGTGCGGGAGCTACTCATACGTGGGGGGAACCCCCGCAAAAGAGGTGGCCTGGCAGGGGCTGTGCTCTTTTCTGTGATGTGCAGTGCTGCTCAAAGCTGCACGCCCCCAGGCACCCACCTGTGCCAGGCACAAGCACCCCAAATATCCCCGCTTGCTGCTGCTGCCGCCGCCTATAGAGCTGCATGCAATGGGGGAGGAGGGGGTCCCCACACTCCCCCACCCTTCCTCACATCCCACAAATGCCACACATCCACACCCTGCCCCCACAACTCCCACATATACACCCCCCAACCTACTCTATTGCCCCCCTACACATAGCTGCACCACCTCACCAACCCCCCTCTCACACATACACCCATACTCCACCATATACACCCCCCACACCTCATCAGACACCCTCCCACACCTAGCCATACACATATACCCTACCACGCCCCCCCCACAATATACAAGACTGAGACTTTATTTTTGAGTTATTATGCAATCACTGATATATACAGTACACAAACACAAATCATGACAAAAATATTTTTTGTAATGAAATTAAAATATGTTATAGTAGATGTTTGACTTTTAGTATATGACTTGTTTTTTTTCTGGTTCTAAAATGGCACCCCTTGATCTTGAAATGGGTATTTCTGGGGTGTGGGGGAGCGAGGGGAGGGACTTCCAATCCCAAGATGGAGACTAGGGGCAGGGCAGCTGTCAAGGGATGGAACTATCCATGTGGTCCTCTAAAGCTCACCAAACCTCACTAAGCGGCCCTCCAGCTGAAATAATTGCCCACCCCTGGGTTATCGGATGGCAGGCAGGTTATAATGCGCCATAAATCCAATGTCTATATTAGTTCATGATTTTTTGTATCCAGTAGATTTATTAAGTGAGGCTTGCAGGCTGGTCTATGAAAGGTGTTTTGTAAATTTCCTTTGAGGATTTTACAAGAACAATTTTTCCAACTATCTAGTTGGTCTAATAAAAGATATCACATTTACCCAAAGAACCTTGTCTGCCTATGTCCTTAGACCGACATGGCTACAACCAACACCCCCATAAAGAGATGAGTGATTCTGAGCACCCTCACCTTTTGGTACCGCTTTTGGGACACCTTAAAGGCGATTTTCACAAAATATTGAGCACCCATTCTCTGAAAAATTCATAGATTCATAGATTCATAGATGTTAGGGTCGGAAGGGACCTCAATAGATCATCGAGTCTGACCCCCTGCAT